CGGTGGGCTATTCCTTTGTTATTTCTACATCAATTAAGCAGGTAAAAGGTCTGGAGTTGATTCTAAGTGTGCCATTTGCATTTGGAAGCTGTTGCTGTGAATCCACATCATGTGGTCAAAGAAGCTCTCCATACAAGTGAAACAGACAATTGTTAGGCTTCAAAAACAAAATAAATCCATTAGAGAGATAGCAGGAGCATCAGGAGTGGCCAAATCAACAGTTTGGTACATTCTGAGAAAAAATAACGCACTGGTGAGCTCTGCAACATAAAAAGGCCTGGATGTCCACGGAGGACAACAGTGGTGGATGATCGGAGAATCCTCTCCATGGTAAAGAAAAACCCTTTCACAACATCCAGCCAAGAGAAGAACACTCTCCAGGAGATAGACGTGTTACTGTCAAAGTCTACAATCAAGAGAAGACTTCACCAGAGCAAATACAGAGGGTCTACCACAAGGTGCAAGCAAGGTCAGATTAGACTTTGCCAAAAACATCTAAAAAAGCCAGACCACTTCTGGAAAAAAATTATTTGGACGGCTGAAATTAAGATCAACCTGTATCAGAATGACGGGAAGAAAAAAGTATGGAGAAGGCTTGGAACCGCTCATGATCCAAAGCATACAACATGATCTGTGAAACATGGTGGAGCAGTGTGATGGCATGAGCGTGCATGGCTTCCAGTGGCTCTGGGTTACTGGTGTTTAGTGATGACGTGACAGAGGACAGAAGCAGCCGGAAGAATTCTGAAGTGTACAGGGATATACTGTCTGCCCAGATTCAGTCAAATGCAGCAAAGTTGATTGGACAGCGCTAGGCCTGGGCGATAAAACGGTATCGATATTTATCGACGGTACACCTTCATTGATAACGATATAAACATTTTTCGATATAGCGCATGATATAGGCACATGCTATGAGTGACGCAGACAGCTCACACAAACACGAACACATGCTGAATTGAGTGCTGTGCCTGCCTGTGATGAGGAGATTGTGAATAAAAAAATTAATATTAGTTGAATTTAAAATAGGTGTGCGTCAGGGAGCGTCATCAGTGGTGCGCGAGATGTGGTGATAATGATGTAAGTGATGTTGCATTTTAATGTTTTGTTAGTCTAGCCCACGAGATGCGCCGCTGCAGTGTTATTCGTTCAAAATATTAGAGAAATATAGTAGCTCAATGCGTAGAAGAGCTTGATTAGGTTAAAACCGAAACCAAGCCATTCACACAGAATGCATATTCAGCACATTTTTACACGGACAAATATGACTGCCGCACTCGCATCTCATGCAAGAGATGCAAAGAAAGTCATGCAAAGTTAAAACAGTTTTAACGTTTAGAAAACGCGACGCAAATTTGTGAAGGTTTATTTCATTTCACTGCGTCTCATATGTTTTTAAATGCAATCTGTGTGATCGGCGATTTGGCTCTTTGGATTAGGCTAAGCAATGCATAAACACATGATGCTGTTTTGTTCATAATTGTTTATGCAGTTTCCAAAATTATATTGATTTATATATGTTAATTTAGACATTATGCACGTTTTTATAGACAGTTATTTGAATTGACAATTAATGCGCTGCATTATTTTGCTCATTGCACCCTCCTGTGGCCTCGGGAAACAAGTCAAAAGTTTCCTTAAGACTTCTTTAATCTGCATAAGAAAGGAGATATTTGTTTAAATTTTATTTTGTGTTTGACTGTAAAAGAAAAAAAAATAAAATAAAAAATAAATATATATATATATATATATATTTGTTGTTTGTCTTAATAAAGTGGGCAAATTAAAAATACAGTGGTTAAATTTAAACATTTTTTCTATTGCTCTGTTTTAAAAAAGGTTATAAAGAATGTCAATAATTATCGATACCGAACGATATGAAACATACTGTATATCGTTGATATATTTTTTTAGCTATATCGCCCAGCCCTAGACGGCGCTTTATAGTACAAATGGACAATGACCCAAAACATACAGCAAAAGCAACCCAAGAGTTTTTGAAGGTAAAAAAGTGGAATATTCTGCAATGGCCAAGTCAATCTCCTGATCTCAAGCATTTCACTTGCTGAAGTCAAAACTAAAGGCAGAAAGACCCACAAACAAACAACAACTGAAGTTAGCTGCAGTAAAGGCCTGGCAAAGCATCACAAAGCAGGAAACCCAGTCTCTGGTGATGTCCATGAGTTCCAGACTTAAGGCAGTCATTGCCTGCAAAGAATTCTCAAAAAATATTAAAAATGAACATTTGATTTATTTTTATTTTTATTTGTCCAATTACATTTGAGCCCCTGAAAATGGGGGACTGTGTGTAAAAATGGTTGTAATTCCTAAATATTTTATGTTATATTTTTGCTCAGCCTCTTGAATTAAAGCTTAAAGTCTGCAATTTCATCTTGATTGTTTCATTTTAATTCTATTCTGGTGGCCTACAGAGCCGAAATTATGAAAATTGTGTCAGTGTCCAAATATATATGGACCTGACTGTATGTGTGCTACACACTTTACATACATATTTTTGTTGCATGTTGGTCTCTTATTGTGTTATCAGCTAATTACCTGTCAGTATTTTTCTAGAGAGATATAT